TTAAAGTCTCCCATTATTATTGTGTGGGAGTCTAAGTCTCTTTGTAGGTCTCCAAGGACTTGCTTTATGAATCTGGGTGCTCCTGTATTGTGTGCAGATATATTTAGGATAGTTAGCTCTTCTTGTTGAATTGATCCCTTTACCATTATGTAATGACCATTTTTGTCTCTTTTAATCTTTGTCGGTTTAAAGTCTGTTTTATCAGAGACTGGGATTGCAACCCCTGCTTTTTTGCTTTCCATTTACTTGGTAGGTCTCCCTCCTTCCCTTTATTTTGAGCCTATGTGTGTCTCTGTATGTGAGATGGGTCTCCTGAATACAGCACACTGATGAGTATTGACTCTTTATTCAATTTGCCAGTCTGTGTCTTTTAATTGGGGTATTTAGCCCATTTGCATTTAAGGTTAATATTGTTATGTGTGAAGTTTATCCTATCATTATGATGTTAGCTGGTTATTTTGCCTGTTAATTGATGCAGTTTCTTCCTGGCATTGATGGTTTTTACAATTTTGCATGTTTTGTAGTGGCTGGTACTGGTTTAGCTCTTCTTTCAGGAGCAGTTTTAAGGCAGGTCTGGTGGTGACAGAATCTCTCAGCATTTGCTTGTTAGTAAAAGATTTTATTTCTCCTTCACTTATGAAGCTTAGTTTGGCTGGATATGAAATTCTGGTTTGAAAATTCTTTTCTTTAAGAATGTTGAAACAAGAAATGGGGAAAGGATTCCCTATTTAATAAATAGTGCTGGGAAAATTGGCTAGCCATAAGTAGAAAGCTGAAACTGGATCCTTTCATTACTCCTTATATGAAAATTAATTCAAGGTGGATTAGAGACTTAAATGTTAGACCTAATACCATAAAAACCCTAGAGGAAAACCTAGGTAGTACCATTCAGGACATAGGCATGGGCAAAGACTTCATGTCTAAAACACCAAAAGCAATGGCAGTAAAAACCAAAATTGACAAATGGGATCTCATTAAACTAAAGAGCTTCTGCACAGCAAAAGAAACTACCATCAGAGTGAACAGGCAACCTACAGAATGGGAGAAAATTTTTGCAATCTACTCATCTGACAAAGGGCTAATATCCAGAACCTATAAAGAACTCAAACAAATTTACAAGAAAAAAACAACCTCATCAAAAAGTGGACAAAGGATATGAACAGACATTTCTCAAAAGAAGACATTCATACAGCCAACAGACACATGAAAAAATGCTCATCATCACTGACCATCAGAGAAATGCAAATCAAAACCACAATGAGATACCATCTCACACCAGTTAGAATGGCGATCATTAAAAAGTCAGGAAACAACAGGTGCTGGAGAGGATGTGGAGAAATAGGAACACTTTTACACTGTTGGTGGGATTGTAAACTAGTTCAACCATTATGGAAAACAGTATGGCGATTCCTCAAGGATTTAGAACTAGATGTACCATATGACCCAGCCATCCCATTACTGGGTATATACCCAAAGGATTATAAATCATGCTGCTATAAAGACACATGCACACGTATGTTTATTGTGGCACTATTCACAATAGCAAAGACTTGGAATCAACTCAAATGTCCATCAGTGACAGACTGGATTAAGAAAATGTGGCACATGTACACCATGGAATAGTATGCAGCCATAAAAAAGGATGAGTTCATGTCCTTTGTAGGGACATGGATGCAGCTGGAAATCATCATTCTTAGCAAACTATCACAGGAACAGAAAACCAAACACTGCATGTTCTCACTCATAGGTGGGAACTGAACAATGAGATCACTTGGACTCGGGAAGGGGAACATCACACACCAGGGCCTATCATGGGGAGTGGGGAGGGTGGAGGGATTGCATTGGGAGTTATACCTGATGTAAATGACGTGTTGATGGGTGCTGACGAGTTGATGGGTGCAGCACACCAACATGGCACAAGTATACATATGTAACAAACCTGCACGTTATGCACATGTACCCTAGAACTTAAAGTATTAAAAAAAAAAAAAAAAAAAAGAATTGGCTCACACGATTATGGAGGCAGAAAAATCCCATGATCTGCCATATGCAAGCTGGAGTACCAGGAAAGCTGGTTACGTAATTCAGTCTGAGTCCAAAGACCTGAGAACCAGAGGAGCCAATGGTGTAACTCCCAGTCAAAGTCCAAAGGCTCAGGAACCAGGATCATCCATGTCCAAGGACAAGAGAAAATGGATGTCCAAGCTGGGGAAGCAGAGAGAGTGAATCCACCCTTCCTCTACCAATGGATTGGATGATGCCCATCCACACTGATGACAGCAATCTTCTTTGCTCAGTCTACCAATTCAAATGCTAACCTCTTCGAGAAATACCCTCACAGACACTTCCAGAAATCGTGTTTTGCCAGCTATCTGGATAGCCCTTAGCTTAATAAAATTGATACATAAAATTAAAAAAAAAAATGTTGAATATTGTCACCTACTCTCTTCTGGCTTGTAGGGTTTCTTCCGAGGTGTCTGCTGTTAATCTGATGGACTTCCCTTTGTCGGTAACTGGAACTTTCTCTCTGGCTGCCCTTAACATTTTTTCCTTCATTTCCACCTTGGTGAATCTGACAATTATGTGTCTTGGGGTTGCTCTTCTTGAGGAGTATCTTTGTGGTGTTCTCTGTATTTCCTGAATTTGAATGTTGGCCTGCCTTGCTAGGTTGGGGAAGTTCTCCTGGATAATGTCCTGAAGAGTGCTTTCCAACTTGGTTCCATTCTCCCCATCACTTTCAGGTACACCAATCAAACCTAGATTTCGTCTTTTCACATAGTCCCATATTTCTTGGAGGCTTTGTTTGTTTCTTTTTACTCTTTTTTCTCTAACCTTGTCTTCTTGCTTTATTTCATTAATTTGATCTTCAATCACTGATACCCTTTCTTCCACCTGATTGAATCAGCTATTGAAGCTTGTGCATGCGTCACGAAGTTCTTGTGCCATGGTTTTCAGCTCTATCTGGTCATTTAAAGTCTTCTCTACACTGTTTATTCTAGTTAGCCATTCATCTAACCTTTTTTCAAGGTTTTTAGCTTTTTTTGTGATGGGTTAGAACATGCTCTTTTAGCTTGGAGAATTGTGTTATTACTGACCTCCTGAAGCCTACTTTTGTGAACTCATCAAAGTCATTCTCTGTCCAGCTTTGTTCTGTTGCTGGTGAGGAACTGCGATCCTTTGGAGGAGAAGAGGCACTCTAGTTTTTTAGAATTTTCAGCTCTTATTTCTCTCCATCTTTGTGGTTTTATCTACCTTTGGTCCTTGATGTTGGTGACCTACAGATGGGGTTTTGGTGTAGATATCCTTTTTGTTGATGTTGATGCTATTCCTTTCTGTTTGTTAGTTTTCCTCCTAACAGTCAGGTCCCTCAGCGGTAGGTCTGTTGGAGTTTGCTGGAGGTCCACTCCAGACCCTATGCACCTGGGTATCACCAGTAGAGCCTGCAGAACAGCAAATATTGCAGAATAGCAAATATTACTCCCTGATCCTTCCTCTGGAAGCTTTGTCTCAGAGAGGTGCCTGCCTATAAGATGTGTCTGTCGGCCCCTACTGGGAGGTGTCTCCCAGTTAGTCTACACGGGGATCAGGGACCCACTTGAGGAGGCAGTCTGTCTGTTCTCATTGCTCAAACGCCATGCTGGGAGAACCACTGCTCTCTTTAGAGCTGCCAGACTGCAGAAGTTGTCTGCTGCCTTTTGTTCAGCTATGCCCTGCCCACAGAAGTGGAGTCTATAGAGGCAATAGGCCTGGCTGAGCTTTGGTGGGCTCCGCCCAGTTCAAGCTTTCTAGCTGCTTTGTTTACCTACTGAAGCCTCAGCAATGGAGGACGCCCCTCCCCCAGCCAGGCTGCTGCCTTGCAGTTTGATCTTAGACTTCTGCGCTGGCAGTGAGCAATGCTCCGTGGGTGTGGGACCCACTGAGCCAGGCACTGGAGAGAATCTTCTTGTCTGTCAGTTGCTAAGACCTTGGGAAAAGCATAGTATTTAGGTGGGAATGTCCTGTTTTTCCAAGTACAGTCTGTCATGGCTTCCCTTAGCTAGGAAACGGAAATCCCCTGACCCCTTGCGCTTCCTGGGTGAGGCGACCTCAGGCCCTAACATCTTTGTCAGTCCTGGGGATCTTTTCCTCTTACTCATGTAGCTGGATCTCCTTTTAGTTTAGCTTCCTTTGTTTCACACCTCTTCTTTTGAACCCCTCCATTGGATGAGTATCTATATCTCAACTCAATTGTGAATAGGAATAGTTTTTTTTTCTGTAGGACTTAAGAGTCTTGTGCAAGTTGTGGTATTTCTGGATAATCAAGATATTCCGTAAATGTTCTTGGACAAGAGAATTGGGAGGTAGGTGCAGTGCAAGGGAGAGGAGTTGGCCTAACTCCGCTAACATGCTGTGGCCCATGTTTTACTTCTTTGAGAGCAACTTCAAAGCAAATCTGTCAATGCCAGTAAATACATTAAAGAACTAGTTGTGGGGGAGAGTTAGTAGACTTTTCCTTTTATACCTTAAGAATGTAACCTTTAGTTAATTTTCTCTCTGTTCCACTAGAAATCAGATGAAGATAGAATTTCAACTATGTTACAGTCAGTATTGCCTACAGTAATATTATCTCTGAAAGATAAATTACAACAAAACAAGGAGGAATTATAAATGCCCCATAAATACCTGAAGAATAATGTCAACTATGTTACAGTCAATATTGCCTATGGTAATATTATCCCTGATTGATACACTGCAACTAAACAAAGAGGAGTTACAAATGTCTCATAAATACCTGATGAGAGTGCTGTAATTTGGGCTTTCCTGAGTGTGTTAACTCTTGTAATTGGGTGTGTTTCTCATGTGAATCCTGGAACCCTGTGGAGTTGTTTCAAGAGATATAATATCTTGTGGGACATGAGACTCTTAAGTAGGGCAACCCCTGAACCTGCCAGATGAGAAGTAAATGAAATAAGCAATGAAGGTGAAACTGAAGTTATACTTTTAAATTCTCATACCTCCAGGCATCATCTTAGAGTCACCCTTCTTTGGAAACCACTGTCTCGGAGAAATCCCTCCAAGACACAGGTAATTAGAGAGGGTATGTGAACCAAGGAGCCAATCAAATTCTCCCACATAAGAATTTGGGACACAGAAGATGAAGCTGAGGACCACAAGGATTTAGATACTGATGCTGTAAGTTATGTTTCTTTTTTTTTTTTTTCAAATTTAACACTTTTAAAAAATTGACAGATAAAATTATATGTATTTATTGTGTACACTGCGATGACTTGAAGCACATGTACCTTCTGGAATGGTTAAATCTACCTAATTAATATATAGGTATCAACTCACACAGTTATCATTTTTGTGTTAAGAACACTTAACATTCACTCTCCTAGCATTCCTCGAGAGTACAACATATTGCTATTTATTGTGTTCCCCATGCTGTACAATAGCCCTCTTGAATTTATTCTTCGTGCCTGATTGTAATTTTGTGTGCTTTGACCAAAATCTCCCTAACCACCACTCCCACAATCACCACAGCCTCTGGTAACCACCATTCTACTTTCTATTTTTTGACATCGACTTTTTAAGTTGCCTCATTATGAGTAAGATCATGTGGCATATTTGTTCATTCTGGCACTGCTACAAAGAAATAACTGGTCCTGGATAATTTATAAAGAAAATAGGTTTAATTGGCTCATGGTTCTGCAGGCTGTACAAGAAGCATAATTCTGGCACCTGCTCAGCTTCTGGGGAGGCCTCAGGAAATTTGCAATCATGGCAGAAGGCAAAGGGAGAGTGAGACATCTTACATGGCAAAAGCAGGAGTGAGAGATAGGGGAGGTGCTTCATACTTTTTTTTTTTTTTTTTCAGACGGAGTCTCACTCTGTCACTGTTGTGCAGTGGCACAGTCTTGGCTCACTGCAACCTCCGCCTCCTGGGTTCACGCAATTCTCCTGCCTCAGCCTCCAAAGTAGCTGGGACTACAGGTGCGTGCCACAACATCCAGCTAATTTTTGTACTTTTAGTAGAGATGGGATTTCACTATGTTGGCCAGGCTGGTCTTGAACTCCTGACCTCATGATCCGCCTGCCTTGGCCTCCCAAAGTTCTGGGATTACAGGCCACCTTGCCTGGCCCACACTTTTAAACAACCAGATCTCATGAGAACTCTATAATGAGAACAGCACTACGGGTATAGGGCTCAATAATTCATGAGAAACCACCCCCATGATTCAATCACCTTCTACCTCAAGCATTGAGGATTACATTTCAACATGAGATTTGGACAGGGACACACACCAAACCATATCATTTCACCCTGCCCCTTCCCAAATCTCTTGCCCCTCTCACATTTCAAAATACAATCATGCCTTCTCAACAATGACCCAAAGTCTTAACTCAGTCTGCCATTAACTCAGAAGTCCACAGTCCATAGTCTCCTCTGAGGCAAGAGTAGTCTCTTCTGCCTATGAGCCTGTAGAATAAAAAAACAAGCTAGTTTCTTTCAAGATACAATGAGGGTAGAGGCGTTGGGTAAATGCTTTCATTCCAAATATAAGAAATTGGCCAAAACCAGGGGGCTACAGGCCCCGTGCAAGTCTGAAACTCAGCAGGGCAGGCATTGGGTAATTACTTCTATTCCAAAGGAGAAATCAGCCAAAGAAAGGGTCTACAGGCCTGTGCAAGTCTGAAACCCAGCAGGGGTTTGTGAGCTTAAAGTAATTAAATATTAAAGCTCCAAAATAATATCTTTTGACTCGTTGTTCCACACTCAGGGCATGCTGGTGCAAAAGGTGGGCTCCCAAAGCCTTGGGAAGTTCTGCCCCGATGACTTTGCAGGATTCACCCGCTGTGGCTGCTCTCGTGGACTGGCATTGAATGTCTGTGGCTTTTCTAGATGCATGGTATAAGCTGTTGGTGGAGCTACAGTTCTGGGGTCTGAAGGATGGTGGTCCTCTTCTCATAGCTCCAGTAGGCAGTGCCCCATTGGGGGTGTGGGGCACTGTGAAAATGTGAGGCTCCAACCCCACATTTTCCCTCTGCATTGTCCTAGTAAAGGGTCTCCGTGAGGGCTCTGCCCCTGCAGCTGGCTACTGCCTGGACATTCAGGCTATTCCACACGTTTTCTAAAATCTAGGCAGAGGCTCCCAAGCCTCAACTCTTGCCCTCTCTGCACCTACAGGTTTAACACCATGTGGAAGCTACCAAGGCTTACAGCTTACACCCTCTGAAGCAGCAGCCTGAGGTGTACCTGAGCCCCTTTGAGCTACAGCTGGAGTGGCTAGGATGTAGGGAACAGTTTCCTGAGGCTGCGTGGGGCAGAGGGACTCTGGGCCTGGCCCAATAAACCATTCTTCCCTCCTAGACATCTGGACCTGTGATGGGAGGGCTGTCACGAGGGTCTCTGAAATGCCTTTGAGGTATTTCCCCCATTGTCTTGGCTATCAGTACTTGCCTTCCTTTTAGTTATGCAAATTTCTGCAGGCTTCTTGAATTCTTCCCCTGAAAATGGGCTTTTCTTTTGAACTACATGTCAAGGCTGCAAATTTTCCAAACTTTTACACTTTGCTTCCCTTTTAGATATAAGTTCAAGTTTTAGGTCATTTCTTTGCTCATGCATAGAAGCATAGGTTGTTAGAAGTAGCCAGCTCACATCTTGAATGTTTTGCTGCTTAGAAATTTCTTCTGCCAGAAACACTAAATCATCCCTCTTAAGTTCAAAGTTCCACACATCCTTAGAGCAGGGCACAATACAGCCAGATTCTTTGCAAAGCATAGCAAAAGTGACCTTTACTGAAGTTTATGAACCCTGAAAATGTGAGATAGGCCTCAGTTAACTTAGTTTATTTTGCCGAGGTTGGGGACACATTCTCATGACACAGCCTCAGGAGGTCCTGATGACATGTGCCCAAGGTGGTTAGAGCACAGTTTGGCTTTATACATTTTAGGGAGACATGAGACATAATCAACATATATAAGATGAACAGTGGTTCTGTCTGAAAAGATGGGAAAACTCGAAGCAAAAATGGTAAGACTTTAAGCAGGGAGGGGGCTTCCAGGTCACAGGCGACAAATGGTTGCTTTTGTTTTTTTGAGTTTCTGATTAGCCTCTCCAAAGGATGCAATTAGAAATGCGTTTACCTCAGTGAGCAGAGGGGTGACTTTGAATAGAATGGGAGGCAGGTTGCCCCTAAGCAGTTCCCAGCTTGACTTTTCCCTTTAGCTCAGTAAAGTCCTAATTTCTATCTGAGACCTCCTCAGTCTGGACTTCCTTGTCCATATCACTACCAGCATTTGGGTCATAACAACTTATCAAGTCTCTAGGAGGTTCCAAACTTTCCCTTGTCTTCCTGTCTTCTTCTGAGCCTTCCAACTCTTCCAACCTGCCCATTACCCAGTTTCAAAGTCACTTCCACATTATCAGGTATCTTTGTAGCAATGCCTCACTCCTGAGTACCAATTTTCTGTATTTACTGCTATAAGGAAATATCTGAGACTGGGTGATTTATAAGGAAATAAGGTTTAATTGGCTCAGGGTTCTTCCACACTCTATTCAGGAAGCATAATTCTGGCATCTGCTCAGATTCTGGGGAGGCCTCAGGAAATGTGCAATTATAGCAGAAGGCAAAGGCGGAGTGAGGCATCTTACATGGCAGGAGCAGGACCAAGAATGGGAAGGAGGTGCTACATGCTTTTAAACAACTAGCTCTCATGAGAGCTCTGTTCTGGTAATAACTAGATCTCATGAGGACTCTGTTAGGAGAACAGCACCAGGGGGATGGTGCTAAACCATTCATGAGAAACTGCCCCCGTGATTCAAGCACCTCCCACAAGGCCCAACCATTAGCACTGGGGATTACATTTCAACATAAGATTGGGGTGGGGACACAGATTCAAATTGTATCATGTGTTATTTGTCTTTCTGCACCTGTTTTATTTCACTTTGCATAATGTCCTCCAGGTTTATACGTGTTGTTACAAATGACAGAATTTCATTCTTATTTTGTGGCTGAGTAGTATTTCATTGTACATATATACCACTTTAAAAAATTCTATTCATCTGTTTATAGATACTTAGATTGATTCAATATCTTAGCTATTGTGAATATGTTGCTTGCAATAAACATGAGAGTGCAGATATCTCTTTGACATATTGATTTCATTTTCGTTGGATATATACCCAGTAGTGGGATTGCTCGATCATATAGTAGTTTCATTTTTTTATTTTTTGAGGAAACTCCATATTGTTTTCTATAATGGTTGTATTAATTTGCATTCCCACCAACAGTGTGCAAGAGTTCTCTTTTCTTCACATCTTTGCCAATTTTGTTATCTTTTGTCTTTTCGATAATAGTCATTCTAACAGAAGTGAGATGATACCTCCTTGTGGTTTTGCACATGCTGTGAGATGAGTCTAATTTCCTTCTTTGCATGAGTATATCCATTTTTCCCAATACAATTTATTGAAGAGACTGTCCTTTCCCCACTGTTTTTAGTTTGTCAAAAATAAGTTGGCTGCAAATGAGTAGATTTATTTCTGGGCTATTTTGTTCCATTGGTATATATGTCTGTTTTTATGTTAGTATCATGGCTGCTGGGTTACTAGAACTTTTCAGTGTATCTTGAAGTCAGGTAGTGTGATACCTCTAGCTTTGGTCTTTTTGCTCAAGATTATTTTGGCTAATTGGGTCTTTTTTTGTTCCACACAAATTTTAGAATGTTTTTTCTCTTTATGTAAAGAATGCCATTGCTATTTTGATAAAGATTGCATTGAATATATTTGGGTAGTGTGGACATTGTAACACTATTAGTTATTTCAGTCCATTTATCTCATAAATGTTTTATGATTTTCAGTGTAGATTTCTTTCATCTCCATGGTTAAATTTATTTCTAAGTATTTTATTTCTTTTGTAGCTAGTATAAGTGGAATTGTTTTCTTGATTTCCCTTTCAAGTAGATTGCTGAAGTACCACTGACTTTTGTGTATTGATTTTGTATCCTGCATCTTTACTGAATTTGTTTATTAGTTCTAACAATTATTTGGAGGGTTTTTTATTTTTTTTAAAAAAGTGCATAAAATCATATCATCTGAAAATAAAGACAACTTCTTCCTTACCAATTTGGATGGCTTTTATTTCTTTAGTTTGCCTAACTGCTCTTGTTAGGACTTCCAGTACTATGTTGAATAAAAGTGGTGAAAATAAGCATGTTTGTCTTGTTCCAGGTATTAAAAAAAGGTTTAATTTTTCTCCATTGAATATTCTGTTAGCTATGGCCTTTAATGTGGAATGGTACATTTCTTTTGTACTTAATTTATTCACAGTTTTTTAATCATTAAAATATGTTAAATTTTGTCAAATGCTTTTCTGAATATATTGAAATGATATAGTTTTGTCTTTCATTCTAATGTAGTATACTACATTTATTGATTTGCATATGTTGAATCATCCTTGCATTTCTGGGATGAATCCCATGTGATCATGGTGAATGATCTTTTTAAGATACTTTTTAATTTGGTTTACTAGTAGTTTGTTGAGCATTTTTGCATCTATATTGCTCAAGGATATTGGCCTGTAGCTTCCCCCCCCCCCCCACATCCGATTTGGTATGCTAGTCTCATAAAATACATTTAGTAGTATTCCCTCCTCTCCAATTTTTTGGATGAGTTTGAGAAGGATTGGTATTAGTTACTCTTTAAATGTTTGGTAGAATTTAGCAGTGAAGTCACCAGGTCCTGGGTTTTTCTTTGATAGGAGACATTTTATTACAAATTCATCACCTTTCTTGTTATTGATCTGTTTAGAATTTCCTTTTCTTTATAGCTAAATCTTGTATGTGTCAAGGAATTTATCCATTTCCTATATGTTACACAATTTGTTGGCATATAATTGTTCATAATAGTCTCTTATTGTCCTTTGTATTTATGTGTTATCCACTGTGATATTTTTGGTTTTATTTCTAATTTTATTTATTTTTGTTTTATTCTCTTTTTTCCTTAGTTTAGGTAAATGTTTTTTTCTAATCTTTTCAAAATACTAACTCTTCATTAAAAAAATTTCCTATTATTTTCCTAGTTTCTATTTCATTTATTTCTTTTCTGATCTTTGTTATTTCCTTCTTTCTACTAAATTTGGGCTTAATTTGTTCCTATTTTTGTAGTTTCTTAAGGTGCAATGTTAGGTAGTTTATTTGAAATTTTTATTTTTTGATGTAGGCACTTAATGCTGAGCAACTTCCCTCTTAAAACTGCTTTTGTTATATCCCATAGCTTTTGATATTGTGTTTTCATTTCCATTTGTCTCAAGATATGTTTTAATGTTCCTTTTAATTTCGTCATTGACCCATTTGTTGTTTAGCAGTATGTTTTTAAATATCCATTTTTCTGGGGTGAATTTCCTTTTCTTTTTTTTTCTTTTTTGAGATGGAGTTTCACTCGTGTTGCCCAGGCTGGAGTGCAATGGCGCGATCTCGGCTCACCACAACCTCCGCCTCCCAGGTTGAAGCAATTCTCCTGCCTCAGCCTCCCAAGTAGCTGGGATTATAGGCACATGCCATCATGCCTGGCTAATTTTTGTATTTTTAGTAGAGATGGGGTTTTACCATGTTGGTCAGGCTGGTCTCGAACTCCTGACCTCGTGATTCGCCTGTGTTGGCTTCCCAAAGTGCTGGGATTACAGGCATGAGCCACTGCGCCCAGTCTTGGGTGAATTTTGTGAAGTTCCTCCTGTTATTGACTTCTAATTTTATACCAGGTGGTCAGAAAAAATACTTGATGTGATTTCAATCTTATTGAATTTAAAACTTGTTTTGTGGCCTAACACATAATTTATACTGGAGAGTGCTCCATGTGTCGTTGAGAGAATGTGTGTTCTGCATATGTCCTTTAGGTTCAGTTGGTCTAAATAGTAGTTTAAGTACTATGCTTTCTTATTGATTTCCTGTCTGGATGATCTGTTCATTGCTAAAAGCGGGGTATTGAAGTCTTTGAGTTTACAAATTATTTCTTGTGCTTGATCAATTCTGCTGTTTGAGCTCTTTATTATATTTTATATTTTGTTCATTGTATATTTTTAGTTCCAAATTTTCTGTTTCTTAAAATATTATTTCAGTCTCTGTTGAATTTTTCATTCTGATCACTTATTGTTTTGTTTTGTTAATTTCTTTGAATTATCTCTCTATATTTTCCTAAAGTTTGCTAAGTTTCCTGAAAACAGTTATTATAAATGTTTTGTCAGGCAGTTCATACATCTACAACTCTTTAGGGCCAGTCACTGGCACTTTATTTTTTCTCTGGTGTTGTCTTGTTTTCCTAAATGTTCTTGGTCATTGTGGCTATGTGATAATGTCTGCACATGGTAAAACCCCGTCTCTACTAAAAATACAAAAATTAGCCAGGCATGATGGCACGTGCCTATAATCCCAGCTACTCGGGAGGCTGAGGCAGAATTACTTGAACCTGGGAGGCAGAGGTACTTATTCCAGTAGGTACTTGTTCCAGTCTTCATAGACTGGATTTGTCTAAGAATGCCTTCCAATAGTAAGCCTGTCCAGAGATTCTGGGCAGATCATCTAGTCTGGCTGCTATTCTTGGGACCACTGTGGCCATTGCAGTCCTAGGGAGCATCATAAGCTTGGACTACTATGGCTGGCACAATGCCAGACTGGAATCTTGTGGTTACTGAAGCTGATGTGGAGCTGGTGTGTGCCAGAAATCCTTAGTTACAGAGGCTGGTACATTGCTAAGGCATGTGTGAAACCTACAGCTGCTGAGGTCTACCTCCTGTATGCTACTGAGGTTGTTCAAGGCCCAAGGCCACTGTAGATGGTCAGTGGTGATGCAGACTGCAGATTGAGTCTGTCTTGCAGGAGCTATGGTTTCCACTTGGTCCCTGGGCAGTCACTGAGGCTTGGTCTGTGGGCACTGGCCTGGAGTCAGGGGCTGTGGGGGTCTGAGTGGTAGTGATTTTCACTGTGGTGGTCCCTGTGTTAGTGTCTATGGCAAATTCCTTTGCTTACTTCTCTCTGTTTCCCCCAAGCAGATGGTGGCTTTCACTGCACTGTCCTGCCTGGGGTTGGGGAAGAGGTGCTGCAGGTAACATAAAACTGTCTTTCCTACTCTCCTCAGTTTGTCTTTTTGTATTATTATTATGCTATAACCATGTACTGTGATCTCTCGCCACTTTTCCTTAGCACTTGAGAAGGTAATTTCATGCATGGATAGTTGTTCAAATTAATGTTTTTTTGTGGGGTGATGATTGCGTGGAGAGTCCTGTTCTGCCATGTTACTCTTCCCTTTCCCTGCAAGTTATGTTTCTTAAGGTAAGGTTATTTGTGAGCAGGAGAGAGATAAGAAAGAAATATCCTAATTTAGTAGGTGTGTGGTGGGCCATGTGCTTATCTTTAAGTAAAGAGTATTAATACTTTAAAAAAATTGCAAGAAATAGAATGCTTATTGCCAAATTTAGCTTTTAAAATTATTCCTGGATTAGTGAGCTCTTTTTAAAATGAAGTAATTTATTAGTATAGTGATTATTCCACTGTTTTCTCTAGTATTAAACAATAGCGTTATTTTAAGCAGAATATTTCAAATATATTTAAATTAAAGACAAGAACAATGCTTTATAAGGGAAGAATGTTTATTTTTAAAATGTTATTTTAGGTATCATTTGGTTGTAAGAAACAGAAATGTCCTTAATTGATGTTCTTAGATGAAAGGTGGCTAGGTAAAAAGATTTGGGAAATCTTATGGAAACAGACTGTAAAAAGTATAGCTGGGGCTGATGAAGGATGGGAACAGGAAAACCCTAAGGAATAGTCTTTCTGCCTTTGGAGTAGGCTGGTCAGTCACTGCCTCTACTGAGGGTCTGATTTCATCCATCTATCTTTGTGGCTTCTCTGATTTCATTCTTTTAAATTTATATTTTATTTTAATACTAAAATCTTGTATATTTTAGTGTAGACCTATTTATCTAATTTATACATATACAAATATACATATATTTGGGGGACATATAGTAAAATTATTTTAAAAACTGTTGGGATGCACAATTAAATGAGATTGGAGACTAGTTGCTTAAAATGATTGTGAATATGGAGAAGACTCCTGGCATCTATAATACAGTATTATTTTCATGCCTGTTTTTTACAGCAAATTGGCTCTCCAAAATACTGTGGGACTTTACCAAATTCTTGATTACGTGTCACTGATGTCTACTCTGGTTTTTTTCCTTATTCTTAAAATTTAATTATGTTTTCTAAGTAATTCATAATTCATAAAATCTGAATTAAATGAGTTCTCCATTATCCATTAATACTTGGAATCATGGAATCAAGAACTCAACTTGCAGAATGGATAAACTGTTTGAAAATGAATTGTGTGACAGCATTAGCCAAAGTGAGAATTTCTCGTATCCGTTTTTAAAGGTACTGGTAATTTCCCTCGCCTCCCCTTTCCTCCCCTCCCCTCCCCTCCACTCCCCTCCCCTCCCCTTCCTTCTTTCCTTCTCTCTTTCCCTCTCTCTTTTCCCCTCCCTCCTCCCTCCCTCCTTCCCTCCCTCCCTCCCTCCCTTCCTTCCTTCCTTCCTTCCTTCCTTGCCTCCCTCCCTCCCTCTCTCCCTCCTTCCCTCTCTCTCTCTTTTCCTTCTCTCCTCTCCTTTTCCTCCTCCTACTCCCCCTCCCCTTCCCCTTTCCCCTTTCCCCTTTCCTTTCCTTCTTTTCGTCTTGTCTTGGTCTTGCTCTGTTGCCCAGGCTGGAGTGCAGTAGTAGGATCATAGCTCACTGCAGCCTCAAACTCCTGGGGTCAGGCAATCCTCCTGCCTCAGTCTTTCCAGTAGCTAGGACTATAGACAAGTGCCACCACTCTTGGTTAATTAAAAAAATTTATTTTGTGGACATGGGTTCTTTCTCTGTTGCCCAGGCTGATTTTGAATGCCTGGCCTCAAGTGATCCTCCTCTCTTGGCTTCCCAAAATACTGGGATTACAGTTGTGAGCACCATACTTGGCCTAATTTTTTATTTTTATTTGACTTTCAACCTTAAAAATAAAACCAAGACCAATTTCCAGGCACTTGTTGTGGTTCTTCTTGTTTTGTATTATTTTAATGAATTTTAACATCTTGTTTCTAGATTGCCTAAAAAAATTGAAAACTAATGATTTTATTCTTTCCTACATTAGTGACTTTTGTGTATGTGTAGAGTACGTTGTTAATTGTTAAAATACTGTAAATAGCAATTTACAGGGCCAGGGATAAGAACTTGTACATTGGTAGACTAGGAGATAAATTCTAGATAGCAGAAATGAAGAATGAGAGAGATTATGAAAGCAAGAAAAAAGTCAATATAAGGGACATTACTGAGGTCATCCCATGAGCAAGTGGACTCAATCCTACCCAGAACATTTAAAGAGCATGAAGATGCTTCTCAGAATCATCTTCCTGAGGATCAACAAGAGGATTTTCCTGATGGGCTCTGTGTATTGATTGTGGGTTTCCCTTGGGGGTTTGGGTTTTGGTGGTAACTATTTGGCCTTCAGGTTCCTGTAACTATTACATTTGGATCACCTGCTAAGTCATACTTTATCTGTATAGCCAAGAAATCCCTTGGTATTATGAACAGAGGCCTAACTTGACTCCCCCAATTTCCAGACTTGGGTTATGGCCCCATCTTATTTTCCATACTCAGGTGTATTCATTCTTAGAATTAAAGAGGGACTGAGTCTTGCTGAGGAAAGACCTAACCATAACATCAAATTATATGCTAGAGATCTTTCCCCTAGTCTTACTTAAAAGGATCAAGTGGCCATTTATCAGGATAATTGTACTCTGGGAAAAGGAAGTACAAAGACTTCTCTGGGAATATTGACACTGGCTCTGAACTATTGATAATCTCTAAAGGCCTACATAGTTACTATTTTCCACAAATCAGAGGAAAATGGACTTCTAGTCCACGTCTATGTTACAAGGGCCTAGTGACTCCACGAATCTATTCAGTGGTTATTTTCTCAGTTCCTGAACTTATAGTTGGAATAGTATACTCAGCAAAAGCAGATGTCCTGCTTTAGCTCTTTTTTTCCATGTAGTCATGGTCACTGAGTTAGAAAAGACTAAGTGATAACTTTTGGAGCTCCTTCTCTTTTCCAAAACAATAAACCAAAGCAAAACTTCATCCTCAGGGGGGAGTCACAGATATTGGTGCCACCATTCAATATTTTCTTATCATATCCCCATTAACTCATTATGCAGATGATAGAAAATTTCAGGAAATCACAATGAAGATTACAAGTTATTTGAGAAAACACAAATTTTTATTAAAATGAAAATCTAAACAAATGGAAAGACATGTCAGATTTTTTCTTCTTTTACAAATCGTTTATCCATGTATTTTTGCTCTTCATTATTGGTGAGTTCATAAATCAGTCATATACTTCATAATCTTTTAAGACAACTCTTCCTTTTATACATTTTGAATTCTGTCCCACATGAATATATTACAAATTAAAAAAGAACAAGATTTTAATACAAATAAATATAAATTAAATAGCAAAGTCAGTATGTTGAAGAGGTATCTGCATTCCCATGTTTATTGCAGCATTATTGATAATAGCTGACATATGGAATCAATCTAAGTGTCAACAATGAAGAAATTATTGTATGTGTATATATACACACACACAATGTATATATGAATGTATATATGCACACACACAATGGAACAATACTCAGCCATAAAAAGAATGAAATCCTGTCACTTGCAGCAACATGGATGGAACTGGAGGACATCATGTTAAATGAAATAAGCCAGACAAAGACAAATATCTCATATTCTCATCCATATATGGGAATGAAAAAAAAAGTTGATATAGAAATAGTGAATAAAACATTTTATATTCTTGAATGGAAAGATTATATATAATAAAAATAATCCCTCATCAAATTAATGTATAAATAAAATTCAGTTCCAATTAGAATTCCAACAGAGATTTATTTGGATTTAAACAAAATAATCTGGAAATTTACATAGAAACATGAAAGCCATGGAAGAGTCAACCAAATATGAAAAAAAAAAAAGAATAGTAAGGAAGACTTAACTTACCAGAAATCAAAACATGTCACAGTCACTATTATCCTAGAAAGAGGCACATTTATCATTAAAATAGAGTAATTAATACAGAAATAGATTCCAGAAATTTTATATATGACAAAGTTGGTAGATCAGTTCTGTAAGAAATCATATTTAGTTATTCAGTAATATATCGTACTGTCTTAACTGATTAACAATTGCAATAAAATAAAAATAGACTTATGTTTTAGTCCATAAATTCCAGATAGAATAATTAAGTAATTGCAGCATCAAAACAATTAGAAATTTTCAAGGAAATCTAGAAGAACATTTACAATTTAGGGGAAAGATGACCTTATCACCAAGGCTGGTAATCCTTCTGCCATGAAAAATAGCTACGTATTTTTAACTTTATACAAATAAAAATCCTTTATGTAGCAAAAACACCATAAACACATTAATAAGTGAACATATGATTTAGAAAAAAATAAGCAGATGACAAAGGGTTTCTATAATAAATATATTTAAAAAGCTGTTATGCATTGACCAAAAGTCCCCTAAACACCCCAATAAAAAAAGACAAAGATATTAGGAGAGCAAATTCAATGGACTACAAATGTGTTTTCAAAAGACATAGTCTAGAACAAAATACAGAAGTTTTGAAATAAAGTCAGGAAAAAATATAACAGATACTATAAAAGGATTGTAGTTTTAACAATAAATCAGTATTATTCAGGGAAAATTATTTTCAAAGGAACAAACAGTTACTTTTATGTTGTTTAAAAACATATTTCACTAGCCACGCGCGGTGGCTCACGCCTGTAATCTCAGCACTTTGGGAGGCTGAGGCGGGCGGATCGTGAGGTCAGAAGATCAAGATCATCCTGGCTAACACGGTGAAACCCTGTCTCTACTAAAAATACAAAAAAATTAGCTAGGCATGGTGGCAGGCGCCTGTAGTCCCAGCTTCTCGGGAGGCTGAGTCAGGAGAAGGGCATGAACACGGAAGGCGGAGCTTGCATTGAGCCGAGATGG